AAAAGAATTATATAAAGGTGAAGCGAGCCATGTTTCCCAATAAATTTTATAAAATGACAAATTATATTTGCAAAGATGGGAAAGTGCATTTTGCTTTCACTAGAAATGTTAATATAATTGTGTATGCTTCCTTATTTCCTAAAAGTTTGATTGAACACTGTACGACATCAATTTGAAGGCCAGGCTCACAGGGCAGTTTATTCCACCTCTGGGTTTCAGTGGCTGTCCCAAAACCATGGGGCTGAATGGAAGAAGGGCATCACCTGCTGGACTTACTAAATCATCCTACTCATTTTGTAACTCCATCCACCAATTACGCAAAGGCTTTTGTTAAAACGTAGCTAGTGTGTTTCTGTCTTCCCTGTGGTGAGTTAGTTGGCCTCACAAACCAAAGGAAGGTGCTGCTTGTTTATGCTTCATAAATGGGTTCAAAACTCAAGGGAACTCTAACATTTAAAAAGGCATATTGTAAAAACAGATTATTCTGGAATTACTGGTCCTGGTTGCACAATATTGAACATTTAAAAACCACAGAATTGTACAGTTTAAAAGGGTGAATTTGGTGGCATGTAAACTATGCCTAAATTTAAAGAAACAGTTTCTGTTTACAAATTTTCTTTAAGTGTAGTCATGAGAGATTTTATCAGTCAAACATACTGTTGACCACAAAATCATGTGTCCTTCATGGACACATTGTCAAGCATCAGTTTTAGCAATTTACATGAAGGAGGCAGATGCATGGAAAGTCCGTTTATTTTTTCAAGCTTTTTATTGGGTGCCTAAGACTGAGAGCTCTTGTCACCTCAAGAAATATCAGCACATTGGTCTTTGAGAAGGAAAGAAAGGTGGGAAGAAGGAGGGCAGAAGGACTCTTGACTCTTCAATACTTTGCTGTAAAGATAAGTCGTTCTGTGTGGTTGATCTGGAAAGGTTACATGGTCACCCCAATCTTATTACCCTGTATCTGTCATTAAGTTTCTCCTCTACTGGGACAATCTTGGTTTTCGAAAGTCAACACCACTAATGGCTCCTACAGCATTTCATGTACTTTCCAGGTTTCCAGTTCTTTCCTGCATTGGTTTGACCATGGATGGGTGAACGAGTGGCATTTGCAGCTCTGCAGCCTCTGCATTTTTTCCTCATTTGGAAGCCTTGGGAAAAAGTCCTTTCCAAGCAGCTTTTCCATCAATGGCTGCACTTAAACACTCTTTTCCCCACGTGATGGTACTTATACTCAAACAATGCCTTAAATGTTGGAAATATATCTTCCCTACTATATCTTTCCTTTAGTGGCTCACACAGAAAAAGTGGTTTGTGTATTTCATTATTGGAACAGAATCCTGCAAATACCTTAAGCTGAGATGTGTAGAAACATCTGTACTTTCAGCCAACTATAGTATAGCAAACCTCCCACACGAGGTAATTTGCTCTAACGCTATTTTTCTTCAGTCTAGAGCAGTGTTTTCTCTACATCTTGAAACAGTATTTGCTGACAAAGGAATGCTTTTCGGTTTGTTGACAGATCCTGTTTTGTTTTTTCTTTTTTCTTCTTGTTTTTTTTTTGACAAATCATTTTCTGTTCATTGTTTCTACCATCTTTACCACAGCAGAAAGAATAAGCATGCCTGGTGTTGGATTTTTTTTTGTCTTATGCTATTATGCAAGAAACTTTAAAAGAGTCTTCCAAATATTTATCATGGCTTAGGGAAATACCAAAAAGAACTGGGTGCAACAGCACATAACTTTAACCATCATCAGGAAGAAACTGGTGCGGTTCATCTTCATGTTCTGAAAGCTCAGTCTGTAAAGGCCTTGCCAATCAGGAGGGTTTCATGCTGTTCTCGACTAATACCTCAAGGTGCCCAGAGCAAGCTCCACCGATGACCATGGAGGTGAGGGTGCTTCAAACATTTGGTGCTGTTTAATTTTCTACATTTGGGGCTAACTTCTCATCAGGTCTATACCATGGGTGAGTATGTGTATGGAGGGAGGAGGTGTCAGAGCTATCACTTCTGGCCTGGTTCCCCTGGTGTGAGGTACAGGTAACATTTGCCGTTTCTATGTGGGAATATTCTGTAAACCACCTGACTTTTGGGGAGGATTTGTTTGTTTAAAACTAGATCATATAAATCTACTTAGCTCAACACACCAAACTCTACAAGGTCTCACTGAGTGCACTGAAAGTGAGTAATTGGGGAGGAGGCACTGAGTTGGTCCCTTGTCTGCAGCTCTCTCTCTTTCCTGGGACACCTGAGAACCATGGGGGGTTGTGTCCGGTTGACAGGGTCGTCGACAAAAATTAATCAATAGTGATCTAAGGAAGAAATAGAGAATTTTATTCATGCCAACCTAAGGATTTATAACCTGGGACAAAATCTTTCAGAAAACTCTGAGGACTGTTCATATACATTTTGAGATAAAGGATCATACATTAAAATGACACACTGGCATTTTAGACAAAGTTCAGCAAAGATACACAGGCCAGATAAGCACATACAAAGTGAGCAACAGGTCACCATGACCCCTTGCAGGAAACAGAAAGAAATCTAATCTTCTAAGGACTTTCAGTGCTGGTGTCACAAGGAGAAGAAAATCCTTTATCTCTAAGGCGGAGCAGGCATTCCCACCTTTGAGAAGCTCTGCTTTATGTATAACGCAGGTGCACACTGCCCATTAGGGAGCGCCCCACAGGGGCAGGGAGTACATTAGGCTTAAATTTTCTTGTCCTGCCTCAATACATAAATTTTATTCCATCAGGAGGAAGGCGCCAGCTTGGAGCTAGATGTTGAATAGAAAGAGGGCAGATTGCCCTGGTTTGTGGCAAGGCTGCAAATGAGATAAAGCATGGGAGAGCCCAGCACACAGTAGGCACTCTGGAAGGCCCAGTGACCCTCTAATGAACCCCCTGAGATCCAGATGGGAGACCAGGATGCTGGGGCCCCAGACGGCACTCTTAGGCCAAACAGCTCCCTGGGACCATGGGTGCCTTGCTCCCTGCAGTGTTCAGACTGGGCCCTGGGTGGCGCCACAAGTTCAGTCCCACGCAGACCT